TGCATAAAGTGGCACCAAGTGAAAATGTTAGCATTTGACATCCTTTTTGTGTAGTTATTTACACCTGGGCATGATAGTAGAGAATTAGGCACCATGGGTGTCCTGGTGGCAAAAGACTAGCCAGGGTGCATTAATTTAAATTGCATACTAAAAGCTTGCTTTGCTTCTTGCATCATTTCTGGAAGACAAAAAACAGTGCTTCTAGAAAGCTATAATTGAAAGTTTTATTTTAAGGGAAAGTGTGTTTAGTTGCCCTCCACCTCTTGCTCCAATTTTGCCAGAATACATACACACAGTATATGGAGTCAAGTATTCCCAATTCCTAAACTAGTTTTGTATTATGAGAAGGCATAGTAGAAGAGTTAAATTTCCTCAGGAGAATACTTACTCCATCTGCATTAAAGGTCACACATTGCCTTAGATCCACATGACACAGGCAACCCCCATGATGCAAGTACTTAGCCCTGTTAACTGTTCAAATAATAATATTTTTTATAAATCACTTACTGTTGTAGCCCAACAGCTAGCTATCTCCAGTTTGGACTCTCTTGTCCCAAAGAGACATCTGGAAGTGTTTACCATCTTGGAAAGTGAAAAATCACTGCTAAAGCTAGATAAAGTTATGCAGAGCCACATTACCACCATTAATTCTGATAAATCAATCCTACAGCGAAGAGACAAGTCTTTACAGTGGATATACATACTGCTGTGCTAAGGGCTGGTCAGTCACACCATCTTGTTGAAGTAGTGCAATAGCTGACTTCCATTCAGGGCGGGCTAAATGATGGAACAATTAAATGCCTCTTTGTTTAGCAATAGCTGAAACAATGGAAAACCCCTACCCAAATACAAGACCATACGCAAGCCTGGGAAATGGCTGGGATTTCCCAGTGGTCTAATAGAGGGGCAGAGGACTGATGTGATTCCAGGTGTGTATCAGCCCACATGCCACAGAAGCATACTGAGAAGGCAGCAAGGAAGGCCAACAGCCAGACAGAGAAGAACTTGACATTGAGAAAGAGCTAAGGGAGAGAGTTTTTGGTTGAGTGCTGGCTGGAAAGAGGCTTAGTACTGTGAACAAAGAAACTATCTGCTGCTGCTTGATTCCTATTGTGTTCACGAAAACAGGACTTTATGTACATTCTTTGTAAATAAGCAGGATTGCATCAAAGAAATGTCTGACTCCTATCAATTTCTCTTCCTAATGGAAACAACCTACAAGACCTCAAAAATCTGTTAACTACCTAAGACAAAAGAGGTAACAATACAGGTTTAGGAATGCGTTGAGCTTGAGGAGGATTTAAAAGTATTACCTTTCCCTTCTTTTCCGTAAGCAAGGGATGGAGGAATAGTTAGTTGCCGCTTTTCTCCTACACACATATCCTTCAAACCTTTGTCCCAGCCTTTAATGGCTTCCTTTATGCCAAGTGTAAACCACGTAGGTTGACCATTGTTATGCTTGTGGCTGAAAAAAAAATGGAACAAAATATTTTAGTCCCTTAATTGTTTAGTATGTCCATGAAGATTAACCATTATACTAAGCTGAACAGACTCATACTGCAGAGTTACAGCACTGAACCCCTAAACAATAACTTTGCACCTCTTTAGTGACAGCAGACCTAGTCCTTGCACATCTAAAACATAGGAAAAAGCAGTGAAATTAAAAATAAAACCTCACCCTACACATGAAGATGTTGGTGCCTAGAGCCAGCACATTTTCTTTTTGTACTGGAAGCAGCAAATCTAATAATTTGTGTATCTGATCACTGTAGAAATGGAATCATACAGTTAAGAACACACAGCCATGGCTGTATTGATTAGTTGGTAGACAATAAAGCCTGAGATTTGTTTCTGAACCTTGATGGTCGATTGTAAAATATGTAGTATGTTTTAAATTGTTAACTGTATTTGTCTTTTGAAATAACCATGTCAGGTAGAAACTCACAGCAGCCACTATGAACCAACAACACTACACAACTGATGTGTAAGTTTAGCACAGAGGAAGTAAATGGATACAGGGAGGCATTTTAGTTTAGATAGGTAGAACGTAACCCCTCCCTTCCAAACTGAAATTTGGCTAGTATACCAGGGTGATAACTACTGTACAACTTACCATAGCATTCCTAGGCACCAATCCAACGCTCCTAACCACGTGAGTAATCACACTCATATTTAACAACACATTTAGAAAAAATTAAGTCAATACAATTGCACTGAATTCAATCCCACTGACTTCCATGGGCCTTAACATGTGCTTAACTTTAAGTGCATGTTCAAATGCTTATTTAGATCTGAATGGGACACTTGCACATTTCAAATAAAGAACATGCTTAAGTACTTTGCTGAAATGGCACCTTAGCCACTACAAGACTCAGGACCTCTACTTTAGGTATCATTCAGAAGTCACTGCTAGCAGCTCAGTGCTGTTGTGTACTATGATGGAATATTATTAGTTGTAGTACTAATAGAAAAAAAGTGCCTCAAAAACCACTTTATGGAGCATTTAGGTTTTCTACAAGGTCTCCCATCCAAGTAGTGACCAGGCCCAATCTTGTTTAGTTTAAATCTAAGCACTTCAGAGCTGTGCAGTTAGAATGTTTCTTAACCAGTATAGCTGGTTGAAAACATTGTGAAAATTTGTCACCATTTTCATTGATATTTTGTTTTTATCTGATTTTTCTGACCAGCTGTATTTACCTGATACTGAAAGAAGATACTTCAAAAATACAGAAATTAGTCATCAATGGACAATTTGTTAGAGAGAATGACAAACATAAATATAATTCCTTTACAAGAAGCATAAAAGACTATCTGTAAGAGATAATTGGTCAGAATTTACGATTTGGTGAGAGATTTTATTTAAGACTGATCTGTAAAGAAAGAACAAGCAGTCTGTACTAGTTGGACTCTTGTAGAAAGACATATTTTGGACCTAGCCTGGAAATATTTAAGCATGTTCATTGCTCTGCATCACCATAGCATCTGACTTTCATGTAAACTCAGTATCTGTAGTGAAGCTGACTTCATGGAATTTCTGGCTCTTCTCCCTTTTGGGGATAAAATGTCTGTTTAAAAATAGTAAATTTTTTTTTTTGGTTGATTTGTTTTAGGGAATTTGGGCGGGGAGGGAGAGGAGAGGGGAAGAGTGATGTTTAGACAGAAGATGTCAATGTTGCAATTATCACTTTTCCTGTAATGGAAATTACTTTTTAAAGTGAAAGGTTCTGCAGAGTTTCCTAGAGACAGATTCTGGATTGGTCCGATCTCCTCCGGAAACTTGTTTTATAATCAGATGTCCCTTTCTGCACATGAGAAGCCCCACTGAGCTACTCAAGAATATTTATGAGCATAAAGTTAATCATGTGTATATTTGCAAGATTGAGGCCAATATCTGAATTGTAAAACGTTGCTTAAGGCCCCCATCCTTCAAGGGGCTCCATGAGGGTCTGTCTGTGTGGAGCAACTTGGATGTTTGGGTAGTTTTATTTTTGGGTCTTCATTGGAAGTGAGGGTGAGGAACACAGATCACATCCTTAAGACAAAATTAAAAAACAACAAAAACAAGTACATTCCATCACTTATATTGCAAGAGAGGGAATTAATTAGGTACACTTTATTGTTAAAATGAGTATATTGGGGTATGGATATATTGATGGGGTTTAGCTGTTTTACACATATATCCTAGGGCAATGGAGCTTATACAATCACTATCCACACATCTAATCTCTTTACAGATCACCAAAATTGCCAACGAAAGCTTTAAGCCAGTACCTAGTGCTTTATCTTACATGCTTGAAAGGGTTACTTACGTGGAGTGAAACATTGAACCATCTTTTTCCAAGTAGCCTTCATAATGCACCAACATCATATCCCCCCATTTGGTTTTCCTCTGACAGATGAATGGCTTCTGGAGCACCTCAATCTTCACTTCTGCTTCTGGGATAAGAGCCCCAGTCACACAGGTAACAACCACACAGAAAAGGGGAGCCCAAAATGCAATCCTCATCCTTGAGTCACAGCAAGGGCTATTTTCTCAAAAAGAAAAAAAAAATCTGGATGACGGCTGCGTAAAGAAGTTTTATACAGTTGGGAGCCTGGAGCAAGGACCCTCACCTCTCCTTCTCCTGGGTCAGTTACATTCAGTGCCTTTCGCAGCCGCCTTAAAGTGCCCCCAATATTGTCAGCACGAGAGGATTCGGTCTTTACTTGCACGCCGCTGCGGCCAGGCGCTGAGTTTTGCAGGGCACTTAAGGCAGGTTTCGCTGTAACTGAATCAGACTTCGGGCTCCCCAGGGGCTCCAGCCCCCCGCAGAGGTGGGTGGTGCTGGGGGAAGAGGAGGGAGCCACATCCACTCTCGGCTCATCCCTCCCTGCTGCCCCTCCCCAGCACCACGCAGACGTGGCAAACTCATCCCGAACCAGGCTCAAAACTTCAGCTGGCGGACCCCTGCCCACTAGAGCCGGGCTCCTCTCCCTCTGATTGGTTCTCCCTAGGGGGCGGGCCAGAAAATGTCGCCATCTAATGGGACGCAGACCTATGTGTCTTCCCTCCCGCCCAACGGACAGCCGGCGCCGATCAGCGCTCGCAGAAAGTAATTGGTGCTCCCGGAAGAGAACGTTCGTACACAGTTCGGCCTTGTTGGAATCCTTACACAATTGAATCGGCTCCCGTGCGCCTCCGATTGGGTGGCGCTGTTGCCGGAGCAGCATTCTTATTGGTTCCCGGAAGCCACCGGCTTTGGATGTTCCATCTGCTCCCTTCCCGACTCCGCGCACGCTAGTCACGTGGTGGCTATTCCGGCGGCGGCGGCTTACACTGCCCGCCTCCTCGTGGGGCTGTGAGGCGGTACCCGGGGATGCGGAAGCCTTTGGTTGTGTGCTAGAAGCATAGTGCGAGAGGAGGCGGGGAGGGTCTGTCTGAAACAAGCCCCAGGATGGCCCTGGGTGTCGGTGGCTTTGCGGTGGGGCGCAGGGGGTGGTTGAAGGCTTAAAAGGGCAGGGGGGGCAAGGGGTTCCCCTGTCCCGAGCAGAGCTGGATGGGGGGGCCCTTGCCACCATGGAGGGGGTGCTGTACAAGTGGACCAACTATCTGAGCGGTGAGTGCCTTCCCCTCTTCCTCCAGCCCTGCGAGTGGTGCCTGCCTAGGGCAGCCTGGGCGCGCTGAGATGGGGGGTGTTCAGCCGGGACGCGGTTCTGTAGATGTGGGAGTTGCTTTGGGTGGGGGAGGCAAAGGTGCATGTTGGATCCTGCTGACTTTTGTCCGTAGGGTCCCAAATGGATCCCTCACTCGGGAGAGCCAGACTAGCCGCGCCCACTGCATCGGGAAAACCGAACCCTCCCAGAGAGCGTGGGTGTTGTCAAACCCGAAGTCTGGCACGTGGACCCAGACGTAATTTGCTTCCCAGCCAGTGCTAGAACACCACAAAAACACATACCTGGCGCCCGGGTCTTGGCAGATCCAGCAGTGTTTTAACCATAGACATCTAGATTTTATTGCATATATGGAGACAAAGCGTACCTACTTCACCATAAAAATCCGGGCACTGGTACAGCCTTGATCCTGGCGCTTGTACAGCCTTGTATTTCTAATGCAAAAAGGCAAAACAAATTTTGCTACTTTATGGCACCCAAAACCAATAGACCCTGATACATAGGGTTGCCAGCAGTGTATCTTAAAATAAGAGACCCATCCTCCTGATATTATTATTATCATCATCATAAGCAGTAATACTCACCTACATTCACCAGAGGTATTTCTTGCTGCTTTTTGCAGCACTCAGCAACTCCCGAACTTGTTGTACAGAGATAGAAAAAATAAGGGACATCCCTGGTAATAAGGGACTTGGCAGCCCTACCTATAACCCAGAGCATGAGTGCTGTAAAAATCCAGGTGTGGCACTGGAATCCAGCTGGATCTTGACTGTCTTTAGCCACAAACTCCAAAATGTACAATCTAAATAGAAAGCTGTTGTAGCAGCCTCAACTTGATTGGCAAAAATCTGCATCTGCATGCACCCCAGGCCCAGTCTAAAGCCGGTGCCCTGAGATTTATATAGCAGTCTCAAGGATTTACACACACATCTTCCATTGAAATGTGCTTAAAATTAATGGAAGTTCTAAATCCTCTAGACTGTTTTGGAAATCTCAGTCAAGATTGGCTAAAACCACACATAATGCGATCATCCACTTTTACAAGATGAGATGGGTCACGTTTCTATGTTCTGGTATAAAATTAGGCTGTATCTAGAAAAGTCAAGAGATTAAGTTTTGTTTATTGTGGCTTCATTAAAATACAATGTACATAGATTTATCTGATATGAAAGGACACATGCTGTCTTCAGAATTGCCACCCCCAAACATTCAAAAATCCTGACTCAGGCCCACTAAAAATCATAATTTTGGCTTGAAAAATCAGGAGGGTTTTTTTTTTAATTTAGTTTTGAATTCTTTTTATTTTCCCTCTGAGTTTTGAGCTGTTAGGGTCACATTTACCAGTGTTTTTCAGCAACCATTAGGGCCAAACACTTTTTATACATTTAAAAAAAAAACATACAAAAAAACCCCTGAGTCTGTTGTATTTAGGGTGGTCCAGGAACTGTGGCTTTAAGAAAAACTCCAAATAGCATGAGATTCACAATAGAATTTTGAGAGTTCACAACACAAGGTTACATTTTGAGGATCTAAGTGAAAAAAAATAATCAATACCTGCTGGATCCTGATCTACTTGGATTTTTCCCTGGTGCCAGGCTGTATCAGGTCCAGATTTTTATGGTGAAGTAGAAACACTTTGTCTCCATTTATGCAATAAAATCTAGAGATCTGTGGCTAAAACATAACTGGGTCTGATAAGACCCAAGTGCCAGATATGTGTTTTTGTGGTGTTCTTGCACTGGATTGTGATGGGGCCTGAATTTTTCTGGTTAAATAGCTATTTTCTGGTAGAAGCAGCTGTTGTCTACTTTGATGGTAAAGTTTGGGAACTTGAAGCCTGACCAGCTCCAGGTGTTTGGATATGTTACTTTGTGGTGTACTGAGCCGTGATGCATTGCAATTTGAATTTTTCAATTACATTTGAGCAACTGCATTTCTTCTCTATTTAGCCAGTAGAGCTTTGGGATTAGTTGGTTGTCTGTGTTTTTTGTTGATGTTGTTTGTCTGTTTAATCCCAAACTGGATCCCATGGGATCCAGATGCTGGATACGTGTTCTTGTGCTGCTGCACTAGATAGCAAGTTGATTTAGGTTTAGTGGTGCACTAGGAGATGCTACACTTGTTCCTCTATTTAGACAGATTTTTGGAGGTTGGGTTGAAAATTGGCAGGATCCAGTTGACAGATGTTTCTCCAGTGCTATTGTCCCTCTGTGCCTCAATTCCCCCTCAGTAAAATGGGGACAATAGTACACCTCTACCCCGATATAACGCTGTCTTCGGGAATCAAAAAATCTTACCGCGTTATAGGTGAAACCGCGTTATATCAAACTTGCTTTGATCCGCCGGAGTGCGCAGCCCCGCCCCTCCGGAGCACTGCTTTACCGCGTTATATCCGAATTCGTGTTATATTGGGGTAGAGGTGTACTTGTCTACCTCACAAGGTTGTTCAAAGGATACATATATTAAAAAGACTGTGAATTGCTATGGCATATCCTCATGTAAGAGAGAGGTTTGGGGTTGGTTTATATTAGGGTCCAGATTTTTCCATTGAAGTAGGAGCTGCTACATTTGTTTTCTATTTGGATTTTACAATCTGAGACTCAAAATTGCCATGTGGAAAAGGCAAAAAATTGCTATGATCCTGCTGGATCCAGGTTTTTGCATTGCTTGGGACGCATTAGGGTCTATAATTTTTTGGTGCTGCTACGCTTTTTTTCTGTTCATGCAATGGAATTTGGGGAGTGAGGGCCAAAACTTGCAGGGCTCCAGTAGGTTCCAGGTGCTAGATCTGCGTTTTCATGTACTGTGATATGACAAAGACAGAATATTTTAGTGCACTCAGAGCAGTTAGACTTGTTGTCTGTTTAGGAAACTGAGGCCAAAACTTGGCTGGATTCTTGTAATGGATCCAAGTTTTTACAGTGCTTATACTCTCGGATGTGTCAGGATTTGCATTTCTTGGTGCAGTAGGAACAGCCAGACTTGTTCTCTGTTTGATGGGACTTGTGACCAAAAAGCTGTAGGATCTGTCAGGATTCAGCTAGATCCAGACTTACGTTAAAACACAAAACAAAACAAACAAATTGAAACACACCTGAATCAAAATCCATTTTCATAAAGAAGGGAGATGCTTTGAAAATCTCAATAAAACTAATGCAGAATGAGTGAGTCTCCCTTCTCTAGGTGTGTAAGACTTAGCAAGTCTGAGTACCCAATGAGCCCACACAGAGAAGGAGACTGGTAGATTGTGATGTAATTTTTTCTTTAGTGGCTATGCCAAACCCTGGCCCTGCTACTGAATTTCACAGGTCAGTCTCATCAGTGCCTCTTCTTTTGTTATTACTTAAATTATAAATTCATTGGTACTATGTAGTATTTTTGTTCTGTATTTGTAAAATGCTGAGTACATTTACAGTTGTGAATAGTGTTTCTGTAATAAACAATGTAGTGCTATAGAGGCAATATACAATGGGTATAATGTACCAAACAAACGAGTTCCTGTTACGTTGTAAAGTGCATAATAGTATAATACAAATGCCGAATAAACATGGAGTGGGGTGTGGCATTTACAGATTGATTGCTTCCAAGAAGAGGAGAAGTAGAACTGTGACATGAAAGCCAGCAGACTATCCTTTCATAGAAAATCAGACATTAGAGATGGAGAAAAGACTTGTTAAATCATCTGCAATAGTTACCTCTGCCAATATAGGAATTTTCCCTCCAAACTAGATGTGCTGCATAGTGTAAATATTATATATAAAATGTGTGCAAAATATGTTGGGACCCTGAGTATTACAAAGATATAAAAGTGTATAACAGTTCAGCTCTTTTTCTATCTTTCTATACCACCAATCTGTAATGCTTTGTTTCACATGGTCCAAGATCATATGAGACATTCATGGAAACAGGAAGCTTATTTAAAATATTTGAAAAAGTGTGATTTCTTTTTCTCTCCCAAGAGAGCAGAGGATGGAGTCTGCTGGGGGTCATCATCTCCAGTGATAATGTTTCTATCACTGACACTCCTGAGAGAAGATGAAATTTGCCTCAAAGTTTTTCCGATATCCTAACGAGTGGTGTCTCCACCCTATTTTAATTTTCAATGCCCTCTCTATGCGTTTTTCCCTGAAAACTTCCTGCTCCCATATATCCAGTTTATCAAAGATAATAAAAATGTGTGAGCCCAGTTCTCAGCTGCTGATGTAATGGGTACACCTGCAAAAACCATGCAAGCAAAGTATATACACCTTATAAAAGGGTATATAGACCCTCAATTACTAGGTTTGAACACAGAGGCAGGATCATGTGTTCACACTACTTGTGTGAACTATGAGACCATTCCTGTCTTCCCTCACTCTGCCAATTTGAGACAGTGGGAAGCCCTGCACAATTTTCACTGAATTATTAAACATAATACTAGGTGATTATACCTTCACAGGGTTTTTACAAACTCTAATTAATCCTCGAAAGACCTACAGAGGGAGGTATTAAATAACAAAGGCACAGAGAAGGAACTTGTGACCTCAGGGTACATCTACACTTACCGGAGGGTCCGGCGGCAGGCAATCGATTTTCTGGGATCGACTTATCGCGTCTAGTGAAGACGCGATAAAATCGATCCCTGATCGCTCTGCCGTCGACTCCGGAAATCCACCGCGGCAAGAGGCGGCAGCGGAGTCGATGGCAGCGCGGCAGCGGTCGACTTTCCCTCGTCCTCACAGCCAGGTAAGTCGACCTAAAATACGCAACTTCAGCTACGGTATTCACGTAGCTGAAGTTGCGTATCTTAGGTCGGACCCCCGCTGTAGTGTAGACCTAGCCTCAGACAAAGAGTGTGTGTGATTATCTCTTGATAGAACAGGATGTGATCCAGGAACTAAGGCTAGGTCTACACTACAGCAGGGGTCCGACCTAAGATACGCAACTTCAGCTACGTGAATACCGT